AGCACATAGTAGGCACTCAGTAAACATTTGTTGAATAAATAATGGTAAATAATGCTTCTCGAGGTAATGAGGTCCCCATCCCTGAAAGTGCTTAAGCATAGTTTGTAAAGTTACTCGACAGAGTCATAGAAAAACTATGGGCATAGTTTACTCACAAGAATAAAAGACCATTAAGGGTTAATTCAAGTAGTTTACACTTGATTACTAACCTAAAAGCTGGTGGTCTGAACCCACCTAGTGGCTTTGTGGAAGAGAGACCCAACAATCTTCTATGAAGATCACACCCAAGAAAACCCTATGGAGTAGTTCTATTCTGTAATATACGGCGTGGTCATGGGGGTAATCAACTCTATGGCAATGGGTTTTTTGTTTTTGGTTTTTAAGATCCTTTCTAGTCTTATGAGTCTATGACTCTATGGCTACCACGCCATTTTTGTTATGCAATGGGAAAAGCAAAGGAGTATTCCTCAGTCATTTTCCACTGAGTAATAGTGTGTTCACCCCTATTCCTGCTGCAATATCATCTCTGAATTAAAATGTTGAAGCTAATCAGACATTTAATTTCAAAGTGGAAGGTCATTATCTTGTCACAAAATTTTATTCCAATTACTTTTTTTTTTCTATTATACGAAATGAATTAAAAGTAGCACAAAACATTGGGAGATCAAACAGTCAATCAGAAGCTCATTAAATATCATTGAAATTGGTACAATAAAAAGCATTTCCCATGGCTGTGCTATTATTTAAAAGCTATCTTCTGAATGGTTCAAGGAATTGACATACTGCCAATCAAAAAAATCACCCTGTCTATGAACAACCATTTGGCTTTTAAAAGTTCACTATCATTTTTTAAAAAGATAAGAGTAAATATCTTAAAAAGTTTACTGTATGATTCCAACACATAGCAACCCTATAGGACAGAGTAGAACTGCCCCCACAGAGTTTCTAAGGCTTTAAATCTTTACAGAAGCAAACTGTCATATCTTTTTCCTATGGGTCGCTAGTGAGTTCAAACTGCTGGTGTTCAGACAGCAGCCAAGTGCTTTAACCACTGTGCCACCAGAATACTTCATCCCCTATAAGACCCCCAAAAGAAGTTATCAGCAGTTGCCATCTGATAATTTAGACCACATTAGAGCAAGATGCTTATAGAGTCCTGCCAGTGATTATATAAACACTTCGATTCATTACACTTATGGACAACACTCAACTAAATACAATCCTAGGCAGGGATTAGTGGTTAGTTACAATCTTACAATTGAGTTCAACTCCACCCATGATCTACTTGCCCAGTTTTTAAAGACTGATAATCAAACATTTCACTATTCTATCAACCCAGACATAGGTGACTAGCAGGCATGAGGATCTGAAAGCTGCTCATTTTTTTTAATTTTAATATTTTTCTTCCGGGAACCCTCTTTTTTCTTTCTTCTTTTTTAAGCTAAAGTACTCAATTGAAGGCTCAGTTTTATAGACACCATTATCACCCTTTGATGTATACGATGGCAGGTCCTTTTTAATTGATAAACTGTAACAACAGAAGACTATTCCCAATCTCTTGATGTTGTTGTTATTGTTAGGTGCCGTCTAGCGCCTCCAACTCATAGCAACCCTATACACAGCAGAAACACCACCTGGTCCTGAGCCAGCTCCATGATTCTTGGTACAGTTTAGCCCATCGCCACTGCCACCGTGTCAATCCATCTTGTTGAGGGCATTCCCTTCTTTTGCCGACCCCCACCTTACCAAGCATGACATCCTTCTATCTCTTGATAGATGATAGATAAATAGATAAATAGATAGATAGATAGATAGATATCAAACTCACTATCTTTGAGTCAATTCAGGCTCATAGCAACCCCCATTGGGTTGCCAAGACAGCAAATATTTACAGAAGTAGACTGCCCCACCTTTCTTCAGCAGAGCAGCTGTTGAGTCTGAACCACCAACCTTCTGGTTAGTGGTCAAATGCCTTAGACACTGTGCCACCCAAGCTCCTGTAAGAGGTGAGGATAATACAAACTAAAGATACATAAGCAGAAGAGAAAGGCCCCAGGTACAGGAAATTACCTTCCCCACACCACTGCCAGCCCTTCTTTTCAAAAGCCAGGACTTATTGGCAAATTATCCGGGAAGAAAGTGGGAGGGAAACATTTCAATGCAAAATTCAAACTGCTTCATAGAAAGTAAAGTATGGGGAGGGTTGTTATCATTTATTTCCTCCAGTATATCATTCCATTTCAGCTGTCTCCCATCTCAGAAGCAGCTCCCCCATTTCTCACGTATGTGTCTAAGAAACATCTCCCTGGCATCTCATTCTCTCTGTCTTCCACTAGCATTTCATTATTTCTTAACTGTCCCTCTCATGCTTGTCTCCCTTTTTTCCTTGTGATCCACGTGTCCTCATTTAGCAGTTTTCAGAAGCCAGGGAGGAACGTTGCAAATAATGTTAAATATGATTAATATCTTGAATTCCTTGAAATATGACATGCATGAGTTACAATGAAACCTCTTTTATTTCCCCATGAAATGCTTTTGCATAATGAGAAAGAAAATGTCCTCTATGCCCTAATCAGCCCTGACAGTTCCTGGACTCCCAAATACTTTTATTTATGGCATTATTTATTTCATCTCTAATAAATGGAGGGGGCACAGCACCATCTGAGGAGGCCGCAGGGGAGAGGGAGCCAGTCCAGAATGGAGGAATACAGAAACAGCACCAGCAAAGAAGGAAGAGATGGCTTCCAGAGGAAAAGAGATCGGAGAAACAAGTAGCCAAGGGCCAGCCTTCGCTGAAGAAGAAAATGGATCATCGCTTTCCCAAGACTCAAAGGAAAGCTCTGAAAAGGAAAGGAACTCTGAAAAGGAAAGGAACTATGGATTGACACGGTGGCAGCGGCGATGGGCTCAACTATAGCAAGAATCATGGAGCTGGCTCAGAACCAGGCAGTGTTTCTGCTGTGTATAGGGTTGCTATGAGTTGGAGGCACTAGACGGCACCTAACAACAACAACAATATCAAGAGATTGGGAATAGTCTTCTGTTGTTAAAGTTTATCAATTAAAAAGGACCTACCATCGTATACATCAAAATCACTGATCAAAGGGATGCACCCGGAACAACCACCTGGAGAAGGAAGATGGGAGACCAGAAAACAAACCTATGAGGGAGTTGGCTGGCATTGGGGTTGGTCTAAGGAAGGAGTGATTTGAGAGATGTGGGAGAAATGGACCCTCTGCTCCAAAGAACAGCTGAGAGAGCCCACAGCACTTCACAGAAATTTGAAGACACATCTACTGCATGGGGATCCTCCTCCAACCACGGAGACTCTTCTTTCTCACGCAAACAACTACTGAAATTGTATGTCCTCCAGAAATCCTTGCTTGGTGGCCTCAGATGCAGTGACTTCCTACAAGACTGTAGAAAGTGACAGCTTTCTGACAACCTTAATTGTGCAAGTACATGGATGTGTAGATGTGTGTGTGTAAAATGAAGCCCGTGGATCATGCAAATGGTTAATGGGCTTGACTGCTAACAGAAAGGTTGGACGTTTGAGTCCATGCAGAAGTCCTTGAAAGACCTGGTGACAGCCTTCTGAAAATCAGCCATTGAAAACCCTGTTGAGCACAGTTGGACTCTGACACACACGAGGTGGCCATGAGTCACAGTCCCCTCCATACTTTTTGTATATAAAATGACATTGTTGGAAGTATCCAATCACCATCCCAAAGGGAGAAGTCAGGTCATTTCCCCCTCCCTCATTTGCAAAGCAAGGCAAATGCAACCACTGCCGTGGGGATCTGACTCACAGCAACCCCTCCTTGGGTTTCTGAGTTGGTATCACTACGGAAGTAGATTGCCCAACCTTCCTTCCAAGGAGTGGCTGGTGGGTCTGAACCACCAGATTTCTAGTCAGCAGGCAAGTGCCTTAGGCACTAGGCCACCAGAGCTCCTTCTCATGTGCAAAGAGTATTGCAAAGAGGATTAGAAAGTGAGGATTTGAACTCAAAGAACCTGAATGGGTTCTGGATGCAACCTGCCACACGTTTTTGAGCGTTTGACTTCGGGCAAGTCCCTTCAAACTCTCTGTGTCTTGTTTTTCTCATCTGCAGAATGGGGATGTTATGCACTAATTATCTCAGGGCCCTATGTGGAAACAAATGGGGGGGAAAAAAGTGAAAATCCAACGCCCTGTGCGCTTTTATGATCAGCAAGAGCTCGGAAGTTATGAGCTTGGTGAGGGCAGGGCCCAAAGGCGCAAAAACCGCATAGCGATCTGGGCCAAGACCTTCAAGATGTTTTTTGCAGAAGGTCGGAGGAGCAATTCCAGATTGCCCGAACACGGAGCAATACCTTCCCCTGGCATACATGCACCCCTGCGACCCCATCCCGCCTCAACTTCTCCCACCCGTGATGTGCAAACCCGAGATTTTGAGGTCATGTGGGGGTTGCCAGGAACCCGCTTCTGAAGCTGGACTCCGCCCGCATTAGCGGAAACCTCAAGTCTACATCTGGGGCTCCAATGTCTTTACCAGGAAAGTAGGGGCAGTCACCTCGCCCTGGCCAGATCCCTGGCCCCCATCCCTTTCACTTGTTACTGGGGCGCTGCCCGGGCCCCTGCCGGTTCCTGCTTCCCCTGCCTCCCGTCGGAGGCGCAGACCTGATCCTAGACTCGGCGGCCGCCGCCGGCGCCAGGCCCCGCCCCCGCCCCCATTATCATTAGCAGATATTACCCTAAACACTCGCTCTTTACCTCCTTTCTCCCTCCAGGCATTGGCGAGGCGGCCTGTCAATCAGCGCACGGGCGGCAGCCCCCTGCGCGGGGGCTCGGCGGTGCCAGCCTTAGCGACAGGCGGCAGCGGCGGCGGCCACCGCACAGACACACACCCTCCCACACGCGCGCACACGGGCAGAGCCGGCGGGCGGGCAGCGGAGGCACCCTCGGACCCGGCGCCCGCGGGAAGGGGGCGTGCGAAGGGGGCCCGGCCCGGAGGCGCAGGATGGAGGAGGAGATGCCCTCAGCGGAGGAGGGGCCCAGCGTCCCCAAAATCTACAAGCAGCGCAGCCCCTACAGCGTCCTCAAGACCTTCCCCAGCAAAAGACCCGCGCTGGTCAAGCGCTACGAGAGACCCACCCTGGTGGAGCTGCCGCACGTCCGGGCGCCCCCGCCGCCCCCGCCGCCCTTCGCGCCGCACGCCGCGGTCTCCATCAGCAGCAGCGAGCCTCCGCCGCCACCGCCGCCGCCGCCGCCGCCGCAGCAGCAGCAGTTCCAGGCACAGAGCTCCTACCCACCCGGGCCCGGCCGAGCTGCCGCTGCCGCCTCGTCGTCGTCGCCGTCCTGCACGCCTGCGGCGTCCCAGGTCCACCTGAGGACTCCGGCGCCGCCGCCCGTCTCCCCCGCCGCCTCGTCGTCGTCCTCCTTCGCCGCCGTCGTCAGGTACGGCCCGGGCCCGGTGGCGGCCGCGGGCAGCAGCAGCAGCGCGGGCAGCGACGGCGGCAGCCTGGAGCTCAGCGCAGGTACCAACTTTTGGACGCAACTTTCCTTCCCGCCACCGCCGAGGGGAGGGAGGTGGGGACCCGGGAGGGAGAGGCTGGGGACGGGGACTCCCTCTCGCGCCCAGCCGGGCGGAAGGGGCGCGAGGAGGATGAGAGGGGCGCACACACCCGTCAGAGATAGTCGGGCCATCCGAGCGCACCCCGGAAGCCCACCTGTGCGTCCACGCGCGGGCAGCAACTTATGGAGGACTGTCTCGCGCCGCCGCCGCCGCCGCGTCACGGGCTTCCGACGGGGCGCGCGTCTCCTAACAGGTGGTTCAGCGGCTCGCTTCCGGCGCCATGGACGCGCAGCTGTGGCTGGTCGGCGGCGGGAGTGGCTAGAGCGTAGGCCCTGGAGGCAGCCTTGGCACAGACGCCGTGGGCCTGGGTGGGGTGCGGGCGCCCTAGGTAACAGCCGCAGCCGTTCCGGGAGAAACTGCTGCTGATCTGGTGGCTCTGCGGAGACTTCCTGCCTTTATCCTCCATCGCTTTACTTTTTTTCTTCTACTTTTTCCCTTTTCTCTTCCTTCTCTTCCTCTCTCCACATTTGTTTTCTGTTTCTTTATTTCTTTGCCTTCTGGCCTTCTTTTCTCCACCTGGTTGACGCGCTCGCACTCTGTGGGGTCACTTGGGCTCGCTCTTGGGCTGTGTATTTCCCTTTCCTTTTTCTGTGCGCTTCTGTGTTCTCGTGCGTCAACTGTTTTTCCTTCCTCCTTTTCTCTCTCTCTGTCCCTCTTTCCCCACCCAACCCGTAGTCCTAATCCGTGAGCATAAAACAGCAGGCTCTTCAGCAGCCACACGGGTGGAGCTGGCACGCCTGCTGTGCACTTGGGAGCAGAGGGCCATGTCCGCCTCCCTCAGCCCCAAGCGTTTCTGAGTCCTGCCGTTCTAGGAGCATCCTGAACCATGCCTTGCAGAAATGCCTCGTGGGAAGTAGTAACCCCTGGGTCGGAGACTCCCCTCCTTTCTCCCCTGAGCTTGCTAACGGCCCCCTGGGGCAAGTCAGTTCTCCTGCGCAGCTACTGGAAGGAAATGGGCTGGTGGCAAGGCCACAGCCTGGGGTCTGCTCCCCAGGACACTCTCAGCACCCTGGGGACACGCAGCCACTTTGATCCCACTCGGCAGAAGGAAAAGTTCCAGCTCAAACCACGTATGGCACTTTGGAGCACCAAAATTTTACGCATCAATGAATCTAAGGCCCTTTTTTTTCTAATGAAAATATAAGAGCATTCTCTCTCAGTGAGTTACAGATGCCTAAGCTAGTTTCTGTTGTTTGTCAATATTTTGACACATGAAGGATTGCTTTTGAGAAAGAAAATCTAATTACAGGTTATAGTGAAGGGTTGTTCTGTCACATCCCTCGCTGATTCAGAGATGTTTGAAGGCTTTGAGTGGGGTTCTTATGTGGGCCTCATTGTTGGCGGGGTTTTCTTCAGTTGCTCTTGGCCCAATATTCCATTGTGTTTTTGTATTCATTGTCAGGCAATTCACCTCTTTCCAGTTTCCTCTTTATTTTTCTTCTGCACTCCCCACCCCACCCCCTTCTTAATAAGGTCTGCGTTCTCTCTGGGCCTGTGGTCTTTTTCCTGTGCACATGCCCATGTTGACTCTCCAGCTCGGCTTTTTCTTTATTCTTCCGCCTTCCAGCGGTTGGGATCCTTCTCCCATTTCCTGTATTTTGCTAACTCCTTTTTGTAACCTCAGTCCCATCATGCTCAGTAGTTTTGTTTTGTTTGTCTTTTCCTCTTGTCTTTATTTGCTCGGATCAGTCTTTGATCTCTTAAGATACTTTTCTTCCATCTTGCTGTCTTTTTCCTGTCTCATGGACAGCCTTTTAATCTTTTCCTTTCGCTTTATACACTGTGTACCTGCCTCTCCCTATGCCCATTTCTATCCATAGTTTTAACCTCTCTTTTCCTTGCTATTTTCCCTCTATCGTTTCTTTCTGCACCGATCACTTCCCATCCGTTTCCTGGTCACTCCTCCTCTACTGCCTTCTCTCTAACTGCTGTCTTTCTTCATTAATGTGGAGCTTTTTCCCCCCTTCTCATCTTTTTTTAAATGTTCTCTGTTCATGTTTCTTCTAAGGTCCTGTTTGGTTTATTTTGTCTCTGTACCCAGGTAGAAGTCACGAATTCACTGATCCTAGTGGAGTGAAAAGGAGCTTTGTTGGTGCCCTTCAGACTTCCCTGTGTTTCATTTTATTCTCAAGGCCATTGCTTTTCTTTCCTTTTCTTTCTTAAAGAGAGAGGTCATAGAGGGGCTCTATCACCAAGAGCAGGAAGACGTGCTCATTGGAAAGATGAAAATTGGATGGTAGGTTTCTTCCATGGAAAATAGTCTGAAGGAGGAAAAAAAAAAAAGGCCACAGTAGATACTAGACATCACAAGTTGTGATCATAATATCAATCACTGATGAACAAAGCCTTCTCCTAACAGACATAGTGATAAAGTAGCCATCAGAGAGACAATCCCCTGAAGAGCTGATTGGCTCCTTGAAGAGCTAGTGGTTCCACTTTGAACCAATGAGTATGTGTATACAGACAGAGGGCCACTTTAGCATCCTGGATGATGATGGTGTTGGAGAGTGTTTGCCTGTTGCACCCTCGCACAAACATGTTATTGCAGCATCTCAGGCCACCTAGTAAACTGAAAGTAGTTAGAACATCAAAGTGATGAAATGAGTCAAGGATAGAAAAAAAGATATAACCAAGTGGCCAGAGTAAATGCAGTGAAATGATGGAAAGGGTTGAAGTGAATCTTATTTGCCATTAAGGGCCATAAACTACTGAGAAGAGAAATATGTGATTAAAAATAGATTTTTCAACATTCTTATGAAATCTCATGAACAGTGCAATTTTCCTTAAATGGTGTAATAATACCATGTTTTTAAGAGCATATTTTTCCTCTGTGGGAGGCTTAGAGTTAAAACTCACGTAGATCTTGATATGCAGCCTAAATTTGGCATCAGGAAATGGGAAATTGCATCTTTAAGCAGAGTACAATCAAAAATGAATTACAATAAATCCTATATAATTGCATAGGTCATTCTCTTTAATGAGATTTTATTAACCTGACTGTCAAGCTTTTGAGTCAGGCAGATATTTTATCTTCTTCAACTGATAAAAGTGTCAGCTATAAACCACCATATAAATATTCATAAATCTACACATCTGTGGCAGCCTATCAGCATCATTCTTTTGGACATTAAAAGCATTCTAATTACTTTCTGTCTAGCAGAGCTGAAATGCTGCCTGTTATAGTATGTGCTTGGCAGGCATGATTGCTTTTGTTTGCCATCACAAATAGCAGCATCCTATTTTATATACCGATGGTCCAGAAAATATTCAGGGATTGACTGAGCAGGATGAATATTAGGAAGCACCATCTGGTTTTGATAGCACCAAGTATATTAACTCATCTGTTAATTTTTGACACATCATTGATTTATTTATTTAGAAAAATTGCATCCTGTTTTGCTGTGTTGATGTTTGCCATTATGAAAAAAAAATTGATGGCATTTTTTTTTTTTTTTTGAAAGACATAGTTCATTGATTTAAGACAAGGGTAATGCTTTCAAAGATGTTTTTATTCTCAAACTTCTATTCTCTATGCCATGAAGTCCTGTCTCCAACAGAAGTGAAATTCATGTTTTAAGGAAATCATGTATTTTGAACTAGTTGGAAATTCTTTTGGTAGATATAATATATAGATCTAAAAGAAATTTCTGCTGCATTTTTAATATTAATATATTTCACCCTTTGGTGGGCTAAAATCAAAAGGTTACCACTAATCTTGACTACTGTGATCTCCTTCATAGAAACAGAATACTCTTGGGGATGTGCTGTGATGGGCAAATTCCATTCAAGGCTTTGCTTACAAAGAAGGATGTTAAAGTAGGGAGCCTGTGTTTGATTGCAGAGTGCCCATCTCTCTTTTGAGTCACTTATCAGATGTAGGATGGATTGAACCATTTAAATTCAGAAGAATTTCTAGAAATGAATTTTTTAATAAAAAAAACAGTAATCGTGGCTTCAGATTTTGGAATCAGATGAGGCATAGTTTGCAGCATATTATCTCCCAACACATACTAAAGCAAAATAAATTAGAAGTGGTCAATTTGGTTGGGATTTATTATCATTTGATAGTGTTTAATCTTAGGGGAGTTACAGATAAAGCAGACAGTTTTAAAGTGTCTTTGTAAACTGTTGACTTTGTTCTTCTCTGCCATCACTTGAGTGGAGCAGTCTGTGACTAGGAGGGAAAAAAAAAAAAAAACAGTTAAATAAATCAAAATACATCTTCACTCTTTGCTCAACTAAGAATCATGGATCAGTGGCCATTCATTTGCGTTCGTATGAAAACAGAACTTTTCTCCATTTCTTAGCGATAATGGGTATCTCATAGTACTTGCATTTCTAATTATATCTGTCTAGAAAGCTAAAATATTGCTGGCTGCAGTATGTATTAAGTGAAAATATTTGCTGTTTTCCACCAAGTAATAGGAATATTTTTCATCATACTCTTCAATGTATCAACGTTAAAATAACCATTCAGATATTTCAAGATATTGAAAAGGGTTATAACTTTAAGGGTTATAATTGCTATTTTGTCATGTATCAATTCTGAGAACAAATTCAGAATGAAGCATTTTAAAAACTATGGGTAAAAACATTGTAGCTATTCTCTAGTATTTTGACTGCACTTTAATACATTATGTTCATAAGGTAGTATATTACATAATGATTTCTTTTCTTAGTGCATTACCAGTCTATCCTTCAATTAAGAAAACAAATCATGCTTGTTCCTAAGTCAGATTTTCCCCCCTTAAAGTCTACACCTTAATGTGATTTATCAAGTGCATAAAAATAGAGTGTTCTTTAGAATATTGAACAAATACGTTTGAGCAGTTCTTTCTAAGCAATTCAATTTTAGCCTTTCCCTTCATATTTCGTCCCTTTTCATCAAGGTTATGTTAAAGGTATATCCACTATGAATCAACTGGGACTATGCTGATTAAAATGCAAACAGTAAATACAGCTTCAGATTTAGAATGGGATTATAGGATTAAAATGATTGAAAACTGCTTTTGTGCTAGAATTGAAAATTCCCAATCAATATCATCCTTTGATTTTACTACTAAAAGAACAAAACCAGGAAGTAATGAGAATGTAACCTCTTCAACCTTACCACTTGTAAGGTTCAGCTGTTTTGTTTCTTGTTTATTTGATTTGGGACCTTATAAAGAAATGACAAACAAATATTTGGGGGTTTTCCCTTTTTATTTGAATTTAAGTAATGAGCTCAATTTTTCCCTTCCACCTGGTGATGGCGGGGAAGGAGGGTGGACATTAATTCCAATCTTAAAAAGAGAAAACCAAACTCACTGCCGTCAAGTGGGATCCGACTCATAGTGACCCCTCCTTGGGTTTCCGAGGCGGTATCACTACGGAAGTAGATTGCCCAACCTTCCTTTCCAAGAGTGGCTGGTGGGTTTGAACCTCCAGCCTTCTGGTTAACAGTCAAATGCCTTAGGCACTACGCCACCAGGGCTCCCATTCCAGTCTTAGGTGTGTAAAGGATGCTACACGAATCCACATCCCTTTCTTCCCTTTCCACACGCCAACATTATCTTGGTTGCTTCTTCAAGTTTTGTGCCCATCAATCATGGGGTTCCTAACCTGAAACTATATCTGTGTCTTGTTCTTTGGTGAGTACTCAGAATAGTTGTGTGAAAAACTGTCCTGCTCCTAACATTTGTGGGATTCAGGACACAAGTACAAATGCAGGTCCATATACCACTGAAGAAAGTACAGCCAGAATGCTCTTAGAAGTAAGAATGGCCATCCACACGTCATCTCTCATACTTTGATCATGTTGTCAGAAGGGACCAAACCCTAGAGAAGAATATCATGTTTGATAAAGTAGAGGGTCAGCAAAAAAGGGAAGACCCTCAACAGGATAGATTAACTCAGTGGCTGGAACAATGGGTTCACGTGTGGTAATAATTGTGAGGATGGTGCAGGACTGGACAATATTTCATTCTGTTGCACGTAGGGTTGCTGTTCTGGTTACCTAGTGCCACTGTGATAGGAATATACCACAAATGGGATGGCCTTAACAAACGGAGTTTATTCTCTTATAGTTCGGGAGGCTAGAAGTCCAAGTTCTAAGTGCCAGGCTCTAGGGCCTTTGTGAAAGCCCCTTGATCATAGGCTTCAGCTCTGCCTCTTGCTCCTGGCCCACTGAAGCTAGAGGCATCTCTTCACTCAGACAGCTACTGGCTGCTGAGGCTAACAAGCCCAAGGTCAACAAATAAAATAGCACAGTCCCAATGTTATCAAACGACACGGCAGGCAATTAATTTAAGTCCATTGTAAGTCCCAAGGTCGGCAAAGCATGGTAGGCTGCTAAACAACGACATGGCTACATGCAGGGTCCAAGCATGCCATAAGCTAGAGACCATTCCCAAGGCTGCTGCTTATATATGGAAAGCAGACCACATAGCCAAAGGTATGTGATATGACACCCAGATATCATTATCCAGAGACCATTACAGCCCTGGAAGCAATTTGAGCAGGGAATCCCTGGTTCTTGAGTACCTCACCATGGGGAGGCAATGGCCTAAGGACTGTACTGCTCCTAAGGGTGAAAAAGTGCTATCCCAAGGAGAATAATTCAGCTGCTCACAGTAGATTCCACCATGGAGTTGATTACCAGTCTCATCATGAGGAATACTACATCCAGCTGCCCAGCCTCTCTACCAGGCCCAGCCAAGTTGGCACAAAACCTTAACTACCACAGTTGCTATGAGTCGGAACAGACTCTATGGCACCAACAACATGTACAATATGTCTGAATACTTAAAATATATGAGTCAAGCTGACAAACTGTTAAATCAGATGTATTCTGTTCACTTAGCCTGACAGATGCACCATCTGATGACCTAGAAGGTCAGGTTCAATGCTGGGATTTTTAGACTATGCAGAAGTGGAAGAGGAAAGCCAGACCCTGGCCTTCTCCCCTCATCCTGGGCATTATCTTCCGCTGTTGTTGTTGTTAGCTGCCAACAAGTCAACCCCTGATGATTGGCAGCCCCGTTCTCCAGGATCATGCAGTTGTGATCCATAGAGTTTTCTTCGGTTGATTTTTTAGAATTAGATCTCTAGGTCATTCTTCCTAGTCTATCTTAGTCTAGAAGCTCCACTGAAACCTGTTCAGCATCATGGCAACATGCAAGCCTTCACTGACAGGTGGTGGCTGCGCCTGGAGTGCATTGGCCAGGAATCAAGCCAGGTGTCCTCTATGAGGGCAAGAATTCTACCACTGACCTACCAATGCCCACCCGCCACCCCCATCCTGCAATAGGAAGAGCCTTACATACATATATAGACTGTCCAGCCTGGAGTTGCAAGCTTTGCCATCATGATCTCGTTTTGGCCATTGATAAAGAAATGACACCCAGATATCATTATCCAGAGACCATTACAGCCCTGGAAGCAATATGGTCAGGGAATCCCTGGTTCTTGGGTACCTCACCATGGGGAGGGAGCGGCCTAAGGACTGTACTGTTCCTAAGGGTGAGAAAGTGCTGTCCCGAGGAGAAAAAAACATTCCTGTGAACTCAGCCTGCCTAGGGTAATCTTACCAACCCAGCAAATTAAATCTGGGAATGCTATAAACTGAGAGTCTCTGAGGATTTACAAGAGTGCATTCGTGCACTCAGTATTTCTTGAGGCACTGTGCTGACACTCAAACTCCAGCCAGTGGTTTCTGGCCTCATGAAACGTACAGTCTATGATCATCCTCTTCTGAAAGGCCGAGAGCTCATTTCTGTGCTAACTTGGTTTTTTTTTTAGAGAGAGAGATTAAAGAATGGTGGCGTTTTCTAGTTTTGAGAGATGTGAGGAGTGCTTTTTAGGTGCCAGGGCTGGGCTTTATGTATATAGCCTCACATAGTAGTTGAAAGGGGGAAATTGGATCCCCAATCTTTTAGTTACATCATGAATGGATAGTAAGGAAAAAACACAATCATGAGTAGTGCATGGAGGTTTCTTGATGCGTAGTGTCGTTGGTCATGTGCTCTGAATTTTCTGGAAGGTTCTTTCTGAAGCTATTCTTGCTCATTGTCCTCATAGAAGCCCTTAAGCATCTCACCATTTTTTATTTTAAAAGATTTTTTTTTTTTCAGAAAAAAAAAAATACAACTAGTCAAAATTTTCAGAGGGAACAGATAGCTAGTTATTTTTCTATCATAAACATAGTTGTTGTTGTTTTGTTGTTGTGTACCATCAACTCAGGTTTCTAAAATCTAGAATATTTGTTGCCATTTTTGGGGGTAGTTGTTGTTGTTGTTGTTATGTGCCGTCGAGTCGGCCCCGACTCATAGCGACCCCTCCTTGAGTGTCCGAGGCAGTGTCACTATGGAAGTAGATTGCCCAACCTTCCTTCCAAGGAGTGGCTGGTAGGTTTGAACCGCCAGCCTTCTGGTTAGCAGTCAAATGTCTTAGGCACTAAGCTACCAGAGAGGAAATGAGAGACGTCTTTATAATATTATGTAAACCCTAAGAAGCACTCCTCTTTTTATTTACAATAGTTTACTCTGGGCCAAAAGATCCCTGGTGGGTGCAACAGTTAAGCACTCTAACCGTAAGGTTGGCTGTTCAAACCCACCCAGCGACTCTGTGGGAGAAAGACCTGGTGATCTTTTCCTTGACAGGGCAGCTTTACTCTGCCACATGGGGTTGCTGTGAGTCAGGATAGACTCCACAGCGCCCAGCAACAACAGTCCTGCATTGTGTATGGGAAAGAGGAGTGTCTGCTTTATGGCATTTACGTGTGGGGTCAATTTTCAAGGCCCTTGTCCTGACCAAGTTAAATCCCATTGTCAATTTTATGTTTTATTTTAGTCTTTTTGTTTTGTTTTCTGCAGTGAGTTGGTTGCTTTCTGTTTTCTTTTTGCTTTTTCTGATTGACAGTTAATATGCTTCATGTATGTGGACTAACTCTGGTTCCCACACCAGACATCTTTTTAGATTTGGCAACCTAATGATACTGATATAGGTCAACCTAAACGTTGGCCTTGACAAGAAATCCAGGTTAGCAGAAAAATTAAAACATAAGTTAAAAGGAACAATGGAACATAGGTATTGGATGACATGTACAGTTTTGCCTTGAGGTTATCCTGTGACTTACATGACCACTGTTAGTTTTACCTTAGATATCTGGTGAGCGCTTCAGAAAGACTTATCTCTCTTCTCCAGTTTGCATCTGGGAGCAACATACTCTCGGCAGGGATCGTATCAGCTGATTAATAGCAAGGACATGAGGGCACTCCAGAAATAGAAGTAATGATTGCTTTAAGTCCTCCTATCAATGAGGAATTGAGTCTGCAGTGGCTGGCTTGATTCATTAGAATAAGGATAGAAATGAGCCAAAGGTGTGAGTGCAGACCTGTGCTGACCACTTAGTGCTACAAGACAAGTCATAAGCCAGCCATTTTCAGAGTGAGGGGCTGAGGATGACTGGTCAGACACACCAGCAGTTGCAGAATAACAGGAAGCTATGTTTCCTACCTGTAGTGTCACTGTGTCACCATGATTTATCATAGAGTGGAATTACATATTTTCCTATTCCCAACTGTTAGCCTCAAAACAACTGAGAATCTCACTTACCCCTTGTTGTTGTTGTTGTTATGTGCCGTCGAGTCAAACCCGACTCATAGCGACCCCTCCTTGGGTTTCCAAGGCAGTATCACTATGGAAGTAGGATTGCCCAACCTTCCTTCCGAGGAGTGGCTGGTGGGTTTGAACCGCCAGCCGTCTGGTTAGCAGGCAAGTGTCTTAGCCACTATGCTACCAGAGCTCCCTCACTTACCCCTAGTCTTTGGCTATTGGTCTCTGATGTGTCTTTTCATTTGTTTCAGAGAGTCGTATGATCCTGGATGCCTTTGCCCAGCAGTGCAGTCGAGTTCTTAGCCTCCTAAATTGTGGAGGAAAACTCCTGGACTCCAACCACTCTCAATCCATGATCTCTTGTGTAAAGCAGGAAGGTTCGAGTTATAATGAGAGACAGGACCAATGCCACATTGGAAAAGGAGCCCACAGTCAGACCTCAGACAATGTAGACATAGAGATGCAATATATGCAAAGGAAACAACAAACTTCTGCCTTTCTGAGGGTTTTCACTGACTCACTACAAAATTACCTGCTCTCGGGGAGCTTTCCGACTCCAAACACCTCATCAGTCAGTGAGTATGGCCACCTGGCAGATGTGGATCCTCTATCAACCTCCCCCGTGCATACGCTAGGTGGCTGGACCTCCCCAGCAACGTCCGAATCCCACGGTCACCCATCCTCTTCTACACTGCCAGAGGAGGACGAGGAAGAGGAAGAAGAAGGCTACTGTCCTCGATGCCAAGAGTTGGAACAGGAGGTTATTTCACTGCAACAAGAAAATGAAGAGCTCAGAAGGAAATTAGAGAGTATCCCAGGTATCCTGCCATATTACATATAGGCCAGATGCACTCTTCTTCCTTATGGTTGTCTCGTATGTATGAATACACGTGGGTTTGGGGGGGCCAGCAGTGCAGAAAAGCTGGGAAAACAGGTATCTGTGAGTGGTCTTTAGCCTACCCAGTGCCAACTGGGAAATTTCAGGGTGAGCCACTAGCTTTTCCCTGTCCTTGTTCAAGCTACAGTGTTCTTGGGCATAGGCCTGAAGACCATTTAAAAAAAAAAAAACAGTTACCGTGTGGTCAGTTCCAGCTCATGGCAGCCCCATGTGTCAGAGCAGAAGTGTGCTCTGTCCAGAGGGTTTGCAGTGGCTGATTTTTCGGAAGTAGGTCGCCAGGCCCTTCTTCCAAGGCACCTCTGGGTGGACTCAAACCACCCACCTTTCAGTTACCAGGTGAGCATGTTGAACACCCAAGGACTCCTTGAAGACCATGGTCCTATTAAAAGATGTCTCTATCAATATAAAAATAGTTCTAGATGTGATGCGATAGACCAAGTGCATGAGGTTAACTTTCCTTCCAAAAATTGTCTTGTTCCTTTAAAATGGCTTTTGTAATTTAAAGACTTGACTGTATGCATTTTATTTGATGGTCAGTATAGAAATTAAAATGAAATGATAATTTCAGAGGTAGGACTGGTATTCTGAACAAACAGTAATTTCTAATCCCTCACCTTGCCTGTTAAGTTTCTACAGACATTCTCTCTTTTTAGCACGTCATCTCCCCTGCTAAAGTTAATAAGAAACTGTAACCTAAACAAAGGTAGACCAGTAAGTTAGCTGGCCCCAAAATATTTGTGTCCCTGGCTGAACATGAGACATTTCCTGACTCTAAAACACAATAGCTTTAAAGAATAGTGAAGACATCTTTAAGGAGCTGTGGTGGCACAGTGGTTGAGAGCTCGTCTGCTAACTGAAAGGTCAGCAGTATAAACCCACCAGTGGCTCAACAGAAGTAGGATGTGACAGCTTCCATGAATATTTACAGCACTGGAAACCCCAAGGAGCAGTTCCACTCTGTTCTATCCGGTCTCTGTGAGTTGGAATCAACTCAACAGCAATCGGTTTGGTGGGGTTTTGTTTTGTTTTTTGGTTTAAAGACATCTTAATTACAACATCTTCTCTGGTCTGCAGAGTTCTTTTTTTCACTATTTGGGAAGGTATTTTTTAGCTTCTAGCAAACTGTTGATTAAAAAAAAAAAAAGCATGTAGCTCTTCAATCTATACACTTATTAGTAAATTACATGCATAGACATACTACATACTCATAAATTACATGCATAGACATACTACATACTCATAATATATGCTCATATATATTTAGTGTAAAGCATGCATAATTAATACATAATTTAAAACATTTAAGACTGGCAAAAATTTAAGTAGAAGTTATGTTTTTCTCCTAACTCAGTGTATTTGCACCACCCAATTTGGCAGATGATCTAGAAAGAAAGAAATGTTGAGGAAAGTTACCCACTTGTTTATTAACCCACAAAGGAAGCAAAAACAAGTGTTAAGAGTTATTAGGCCTTACTTCCAAAACACCTCTGGGTGGGTTTGACCCACTCACCTTTTGGTTAGTAATTGAATGTTGAACCGTTTGCCCTATTCAAAGTCTTAGGGACTACCAAGACTTGCCAAGTCAGAAATTAATCTTTCTTCCTCTCTTTTAAAGGAACTCTCCAAATGGAGCCCTAAAGAGATTTCACAAATTTAGAGATATAGACATGACTGTCAGGAGTAGTGAAGAGACTATTAACACGAATTTTGAACAAACTGACAACTTGTATGGCTATCAAGATTTACATAACTCTTTGTTAATACTCATTCATTTTGTCAGATAATAGCAGTAATAGACGCCCTTCACCTTCCCAGTTATTATTCAATATTCCCTAAGCTCTGCCAAGCCTCTCCTCATTCCTGATGTAGTTCATCATCTCTCCTGCCTCGCTCTTGCTGTTTGGCAAGGATGGATAGTTTCTGTTTGGTGGGTTTTGCCTTTAGGTATCCAGCTTCTCCCAGTTCTAGAAGAACCTCCCATCTTTTGCATTGTCCTCTAGAAAATCAACATTGTTTTCAAAAGCAAAACTATCAGATTAAATGCTGATAAAAAGTATAATGTTCATTCTAGTTAAAATAGGGCACTTTGGACTCAAGTCACAGCTGAAAAACAATATCACAATATCAACGTATTTGTGCAGCATATGTAACAGCATGTACATTTCTCCCTTTTTAGAGGTTTGGTTCTGAACATTTTGTATTTAGATTAAGCCCAGTTGTCTTGACGAGGAGAAGCAAGAGGTGAAGTAAATGCATTCTCTTTTTTTGGGTTTGAGCCCTAGAGTTAGCTATGGAGTCATCGCGTTTTCCCAAGCCAGGCACTGTCTACAGGGCAGACACTGGGTGGAGCTAGTAGACCACAGTGGAGCCAGAGGTCTGCTGGTGTCCTCATGTCAGAGTCCCATCTGTGGGATTTATAGGTCATACCCCTCTAAATCACACTTGATTCACTCTATGCTATGGGTTTTACCCCAAAGGGCGATTTTTCCATTCTTTCTCCCCACTCCTCTTCTTTCATGGGTGGAGAACAATAGTGTGCTGGAGATGAATGGGCTGCCTAGACAGTTCCATCAACCATTTGGCACTAAAATCAAGGAGCCTGGATTCTGTACTGCTTATCAGCAGCCTTGACCTTATCTGTGGTTAAGAGTTTCAGAGTGCAGGGACAGGTGACACAAATGTCATAAATTATTATTGCCTAATTCCTAGTACTGAATGTTTGGTACTAAATCTTTTCTATGTCCTAAGCAAATTTGGGATTCAGTCTACCTCCCATTACCTAAACCTGTGCCCAAGAAAGGTCTGCATCAGTGATAGCTCAGTGCAGGCCTGCCAGTAATCACTGTCCATTCAAGCTTCCCAGAAAGATGAAAATGCTGCAGTTTCTTGAACCCTCTTGATGGTCAGGTGTTGAATGACACTGGAATGTCATTGGTTGGAATTAGGCTATTGGTCATGACTATTATTCTATAAACATTCCAGGCCTATTGACAAGTCCCTTCATGAACCAATAGCGTTTTCACATGGAGAGAACCATGGTTGCTTTAAATAGTAATCAATACTAAAACCCATCAATACAGATGAAAAGTCAGTGTATGGGTTATAAATAGAAAAAAAAATCATATATGAATAGAATGACATTCTCATTTCCTAGGGCCACCTAAGTTTTGGGAATTGGATTGAAAACGTCAGTTATTGATGAAAACTTAAATCAGAGGAAGACATAACTGTCCTCTTGCCCTCACCTCTCAACCCCATCTTTGGCTAAACAACAAATCAGACTGTGGTTGTGACCATGTAACAACAGTCTACTCTTTACTCTGTTGGTTATGCATATTTTTTGGGGAAATCTGTTGTTTAGACACCCATTTGAAGCAAAGTGCAGTAAATAATATTCTGGTGTTACATGTAATAACAGTAACTAGCAGGAACTTTCCTATAAAATTTTGTGCCAATTTTCCCTAAGCAGTGTCATTTCTTCTCAGTGGTCCCCATAGGGTGCTAGCAGTCAGCGCTTCCATTTCCATGGAAGGATATGGTGCCTTCTTCTAGTACAATCCCTTCGTGTTGTAGGATCACTTTTTTACACCCAAGCAAGATGAGTGGGTGCAATGGAGTTAGGTGAGGAAATAATAACAGTTAGGTGAGGAAATAATAACAAGGAGATGGGGCACCTGTCATGAGTCAGCCTAGCCAGTTCTCCTCTCTCACAGAGCTGCCTCTTCAGAGCAGTGCAGTTGAACAGCTCTGCGATTCCTGTTTCATCTTTTTCTTGCAATAAAGCCTTCATACCAAACCCATCGCTGTTGAGTTGATTCCAACTCATACAGACTCTGTAGAACAGAATAGAATTGCTCCAGGATTTCCAACACTGTAAATATTTATGGAAGCTGACTATCACATCTTTCTTCTGTTGAGTAACTGGTGGGTGTGAACTGCTGACCTTTTAGTTAGCAGACGAGCAGTGGCCTCTGAGGAGGCGGCTCTTCCCCAGTCTTATTTCGAGTGCCTTCCAACCTGAGGGGCTCATCTTCCAGCACTATATCAGACAAGGTTTCAGGGCTACTCATAAAGCTTTCCAGTACTATATCAGACACTGCTCTTCATAAGGTTTTCATTGGCCAATTCTTTTTTTTTTTTCCTTAATTTATTTTTTATTATTGTGTTTTGGGTCAAGATTTGCCGAGCAAATTCACTTTCCAATAGCAGTTTACATATACTTTGTCTCATGACATTTACCACAGTTTACCACAATGCAACAGCTTCCCTCCCACTTCCTCCCCATAGTTACCTCTTCCCTGTGTCCATCCCTCCATGGACTCCTGCCCCCTAAGCTGTCTTCCTGTGCATAGGCAGCCTTCTTTCTCAATGATTGTTCTCTCCAAGGAGTGTATCTACCTCAGGTAAATGTTCAACTCATATGCCTGCCTTCTGTTTGGCTGGAAACCACAGGTGTGGGTTCAATTCCAGACCTGAAGGGCAGCTAGGGGCCATAGTCTCAGTGGTTCCACCAGGCTCTTTCAGACCAGCAAACCTGGTCCTCCCCACTTTTTTTTTCTCCAAATGATTTTGAGTTTTGTTCCACATTGTTTTCCCTCTCTATCAAGGATCTGCTACACAGATCCCTTTCCAAGTGGGTGACAGTGGTAGCCGGGCACCATCTAGTTCTTCTGGTCTCATAGTCGTATAGACTGCAGATCACATGGTGTACCAGTCACTAGGACTAATTGTTTCCATGAATTTTGGTTTTCTTCATTCTTCTTTACTCTGGATAAGGAGAGACCCATCGTTGCATCTAGGGTGGCAGCTTGCTAGCTTTTAAGATCCCAGTCACTACTTGCCAAAGTAGGAGGTGGAACAATGTTTTATATAGTATGTCATGTCATTGGCCCATTCTTTGAGAACTGGATGGCCTCTTCC